ACAGAAAGAGGCACTGTGGAAAAACAACCCCCTCACACCGTGGACGGATTAGAACACAATGCCCCGCCATACACACAATGAAGCAAGCCCCAGACTGAAAGACACCCAAAATGACCACAAACAACATAACGGTGGCCATTTTTTTGTGTCTCTCTATAATTGCTTTGTCTCTCTCTGTAGTATTTTGGGACTTCTTGTGGCTGTTTACATCCATTTATAGTTGATTTGAATCTTTGTCATTTTGCATTTATTTTTGCTCAAGCTTGTCCTTTTTGTAGTCATTTCATGTGTCTGTGGAATTTCTGTGACTCTGTGGTCATTTTGCATTTATTTGTAATCATTTTCAGTACCTTTGTAGTAGTTTTGTGTCAACTGGTGATTATTTTGCATGCAGTATGTTTGTGCCTCGTTGTAATTGTTTTAAGTCTTTGTGGTCATTTTGCATCTTTCTGCAGTGACTGCATGTGTTTATTATTGCTTTGCATCTTTTTTCAAGTCATTTCATTGACCTTCCAACAGTAAATGGTAATACTTCAAACAGATGCTGTGGCCCAGGGGCCCAATGTCCCCATTCAGTAAACCATTCAAAAATATTAATTGTAAAACAGGAATCCGACCCCTGAGAAGTGTTTAAAGCCTCCACACAAACAAGATAGTCTATAGAGCAGCTCATTTTCAGATTTCACAGATACACCGCCACCTATAACCGTCCACATCCACAACGATCAGACAAGGAGGCGGATGCACACAAAATGGGCAGGGCAGCTGGAGCCGAAATATAGCGTTAAGCACCAATGCCACAAAGAAGTGAAGATCCCGGTGTGTGTAACGCTATCCGTGACTGTGCTGAATGGGAAAACACGCACGTCAGAGTTTCCCGGGGGTGACAATTGTCCGTGGGTCTGGGTGCAGAAACGGACTGGGCTGTCTGGCTGGGTGACAGTGCTACGTACAACACAGTGATTGGTCTGTTTAGCTAGCTAACCTAGCCCTAGCTAGCTAACGACAGCTACCTGTTAGCTTGTTTACCTGTCGACGTCTACAGTGATGACGGTGGTGTGAAGACAGGATGTTAGCATTTCAGAATTAACTTACCAATCAGACGTGACAGTGCCAACATATATAAAATAGGCTAACGACACCTGTAAACGCTAATGGACTGTTGAACAGACCAGGGCCATTCAGATACTAACGCTAGCTGACTGGGGGGGCTCTCCCTTGTCTCAAGCCAGACAATACAGAAATGGTTCAATGAAGCGCTACATAAAACAGAGCTCGACAAATGAGTGTACATAACACTTACCAAGCGCCACCTGACAAGCTTTGCGCAGTTGGCTGTGCTGACTCCTCTTCACCTCCTTATCCGATAGGATTTTCTCCAGCGCCCTGGACAGAAACATGCTCTTGGTTTTACTGCTTCCTGACTGCGAGTGCTGCTGCTGCTGTTGTTGTTGTTGCATCTCTCGGTGTTGTTATGGCTCCTCTCTCTCAGGCCGTCATCCTCGGCCTGACCCTGCGAATAAGCAGGTGACAAGGAATGCTAACGAAAGCCAGGCTATCGGTGTCAGTCCAGTAGAGTTGCTATCTCAGCCTCAGCTCAGTGCCGCCATGCTGCTTACACGTCACGTCACGTGACTCTCAGCTGTCTGGGTTCTCACTACAGAGGAGCAGGTAGCATCCGAGACTGTGTTGAACATGCATTGGCACAGTTTACAGACTGGTCATCGTCTGAAGCCGACATTGTAAAACTTTTCCAGTTAAAAATATCAGTTAAAGTTAAAAGTTTCAACCGTCTTAAGCTGAGCTTCAGTTTGTCGTTTTCCCCGCTGTAGTAAATCAAGCGCTCCCAAAGCAAATAAACAGTTTCTAAAATGTCCTGCAGGTGGCGCAAAACACCACCATTGTGTATTCACTCTGTACTAGATGTTCTACCTAAGAACAGGTGCGGTACACACAGTTGGTAGCTCATCAGGTACACCAAGCCAAAACTAATGCAGTCTAATAAAACACCCATGCAATAAATCCTCCCTTCTTGAAGGTAATAATAATCCATTTCTGTGACAAATCACAAATATGCCTCAATGGGGCATTACAATCTGTACAGCACAGGACACCCCCTGTCCTTAGATCCTCAAATCAAACAAGGAAAAAAATCATCAAACATCAAGAAGGGCAACAGACAGACGTGCAATACATTCATGTACAGAATAAATCAGCACAAATTTACCGAAGGGACAATCAGAACAGGACACAATTGTATGCTCTAACATAAATGAAGAACATTAGGTTACTGTATATAAACACACTGCTGCTCAAATGTTTAAGATCACCTCCATTTTCCCAGTTGTCATTTTGAAATTTAAGCAGTTCAAGTCTAGTGAATAACCTTACGAAGATGTAAACTACCAGGAGGTTAAAAAGTGAGTACATTTCATAAAAAAGGCCTTTTTCAGGCATCAACAGGTTTATTTCCTTTTTTTGCTACAATGAAAGTAAATGAAGCCTTTAAAACTGATGCTAACATTTCCTACAGGTGTCCCAGCTTTTGCTGAAAACCTTCAAAAAACAAGATGGCCTACAGCACAGGGTCCAGGCTTTCCAGATGAAGAGTGAAAGCAAAGCACCCTACATATGCAACACATCTGTTGAACCTCTGCAAAAGTTCTGTCTGTCCCAACAATATAAGGATAATCACCTTTATTGGCCAAGTATGTTACACACAAGGAAATTGTTTCCGGTACAAAACCGAGCCAGCCATCTGTGGCACCAACTCAACCGATGGCTCCAACCATCAGTGTCTTACCCAAGGACACTTTGACATGTAGACTGCAGGCACCGAGATTCGAACCTTTCAACCTTCTGGTTGGGAAAGGCCTGGTGTTTTTTTTTTTTTTTTAAATCATTTTGACCACATTTATATCAATGAGACTGTGCTGAGAACCAGAAAACACCTTTCTGTAATGCAGCAGTCGCAAACCACAGCCTTCAAAATAATCACACCTCTCTAAAGCAATGTTTAAACAAAAGCATCTTCATGAAGGAGAATTTATTGCAGGATTTGTTGCATTATATTGCAACCTAATAACCTGCAAACAAACAGTTTATATACATTGACAGACACCAAACAGTAAAGATTGGTACATATTAGTTTATTTTATCCAGCTCTTCCAGTCAGCAATTACAGGTGCACATCTATTTATTCACACATTTCCAGATGAATCTTAAAACATTTCCATTAAATGTGTTAAAAATGTACATCAGATATAGCATCAATATGAAAATACTGACAATCTTTATTACAAATCTATACCATAGGATTTATCTAGCAAGCAAAAATCAATGTTCAGCTGCTTAAAAAAAAAAGTCAGAACTCAAAGCAAAACAGCCTATTTTGAGACTGCGCTAATACAAACTGTCGCTCTCCCACAGGGTAATGATAATTCACAGTAAGGACAAAAACAGTGTCACATCTTGCAAAAATTATTGCATTGCTTTAGCCAGAACAGTAAAATCGCATCTGAAAACATCTCCTAATGGGTAAGAACACCTACTGTTACGTGAAATTTATGACCAAAGCAACAACCATGAATAAACAAAAAAAACATCAGTGAAAAAAAGTCATAAAATGTGTAAAAAAGAAAGAAAATATGTAGATGTTTGATTAGAGAATAAATAATGTTGCTGTGGGTACAATCCCAGTGTCCTGCAGTAAAGTTAGAAGTAAAGAAAATAAATTAACATTGATTTATATTATAATATTTTTCCATTCATCACAGTGTTTAATATTGGGGTAAGAACAAGACAGAAGCCCACAACATCCCACTGTAGTACAAAAGGCCAAGAGACTGTACAATAGTGGACACGCATATACCACCTGTGTTGGTTTCCAGTCATCGATATACCCCCGGGAAAAATGTGAATGTAGTGTTTCATTACAAATACAACAAACATTACTGAAAGTATCAATGATGTGTTAGTGAGAAAAAAAAACTAAATCCGCAGTCAGTGTTATCACTTTTAACAGGGAAGCAATTGATGAAAATCAGTGAGAAATAAATGACCATCTGCTCTCACTTCAGAGAGGCCGTTAGCAGCAGCATGTAATGTAAATGGTAATATTCACTACCAATGTTAAGGATCTGATTCACAAACAGGAACTAAAACAGCCATATTTCTTTCTTTATGAACTTTGTATGGGGTGTGATCAGGAACAATTTCAACAGCAAAGTATTTGGATTTAAGTGCCACAAAGTCTCATTAATACATTTTAAAGCTACACTGCGAAAAACTTATTGGTGAATTCAGACAAAATCCATACCAAAAATGCTGCAAGTCGAGTCGAGTTGTATTTATAAAGACAAAAATCACATTTTATCCTGAAATGGAAAAAAAAGGCTTTAAAACATAGTATTTAAAATGTTTCCTGCAGCTTTAAAAAAAAAAAATGTAAAAAAGTTTTTAAACTCCATCAGTCAAGCTTTTGTTCAGAGGACCTTCGGTATAGCCTCGTAAGGAATGTTTCAAGCAACAGCTCCAATGGAAACGTCAAACACAGATCAGAGCCAAGTCATACTGTACATAAAGCCGACCTGCCTCACCTTTATCAAACACAGAAAGTGTACCAGTTTGCGCCCAGTGTGCCTGCATGTGTTTGTTTCAGTATGACTCAACCTGACAAGGTCTTGTGTTGATGTACATACCAGTCATTTCATCTCACTTCTGTGGCTGTAAAGTACAGTATAGGCTAACAGTGTTACAATTCTTCAACTGGTGTTCAAGCTTAAGCCATAATATTCTGAACTGTTGTTGTGTTAGTCTCTGAAAACTGAATTCAATGAGAATGGAGATGCAAGAAGAAAAAGATGCAGAAATACTGGAGAGAACACTTTTCATATGTGAACATCTCAGGGCACATCCAAGTGAACTCAAAGAAGGACCGATTAGTATACCGTACAGTACAGAAATCAGATATATTGAGCTGTGGTCCACAAAGAATGAAAAAAAAAAAAAAAAAAAAACACATTCACATTTTGTAATTTGAACACGTACAGCAGGGGAAATAGCCCTTGTCATGGAAAGGAGAGGGAGTGCAATATGAAGGCAATTCATTCTAAGATGTCCCATTTCCAGCTGGGAGCACTCTTCTGGTGGCTCCTAATTTCCAGTTGGTCAAGATGTATTATGGTCATGCAGTCACTTCTGTGATACAAATACAGTATATAAAATAAACAGAAACAAAATAATCAAATATAAAACACAGGCCTAAAGGTATTTTTAAAAGACAAGTTGCTCCCAAACATCATGATTAAAATCATTAACCTTTCATCATCAGTCATTAACAGAGCAGGTATGGAGGAGAGATATGGTTAAATCTGAGCAAACGCGAAGAACTTGTTTTCTAGGTGGTTTCTCCTCAGAAAACCTTTTTTCCCAGATCTCAGCACTTTGGATTTTGTGATACTATATTGTATGGTAGTGTGGTGCAGGGGTGGGGGTGACAACGCAAAAACAAACAAACAAAAAAATCCATATTGCCAACAAATTCTTGAGCTAAAATCCGGCTTCAGCGTGTGTTTATTTGTTCACTTAACTTCTACCGTCACCTGTTCTCACAGGACTGATGAGAACAAACAGGCCTTGTGTCATCTCTGCCCCCAGTGGATGTTCAGCATAACAGTTTTTAACCCCAAACAAGTGCTTCTGGTGGTTTAAGGGTCAGGGGCACCAAATTACACTTCGTCTCTACTTTTGCTGGGGGGAATGGGGGGTCATCACTATGGCACACATGCATGGTCACTGGCGTGTAGAAGAGCAAAGTAGTGGTAGTGCAGTGTCTGATGTGTACATGGTGGAATCACCAACATTTCATGTTGACATTTAATATTTACACATATTCTCAGGTTCAGTCACTGTATGATGGAATAGGATGTTCCTGTGTTTGTCTCTCTCCAGTGTTTATGTGTGAACGCCCAGTTCTACAGAGTTATAACAGTGCCATCCTCCTCCAGACTCCGCTTCTTCATTGCCCTGTCTGGTGATGGTGCTGTCAAAGTGGCACTGGCATGGTTTAGTGATCCGCTGCTGGTGCTGGCTGGCAGCATTCCATTGGCATTGATGGAGAAGGTGGAGGCGGTGGCAGTGCGCAAGTTGAGATGTGGCTCATAGCGAGGCATTGAAGGCATGCTATAGGTGGAGGGGGTACGTCTGATGGGTTCAGCCTCGCCTCCTGCTTCAATCACCAGGTCCTCATCATCCTCATCGCTCTCCAGATCCCTGGCCATGAAGTTCTGGATGATGTGTGATGGTGCTGAAGCGGAAGCACCAACTCCGCCATGTGTCGAGTAGCCATAGTGACTGGCATCACTGTCCGATGAGCGTCCCGAGCTACCGGACGCAGCGCCTCCTCCACTGCGGACAACATTGTTCCGCTGGTTGGCTGGCTTGACGGTGATAATGAGGTTGTGGCTGTTGGCGATCATCATGTCTGTCACCTGGTCCAGAGACTTCCCAGCCACCTCGATCCCGTTCACCTCCAGCACCTCGTCATTGACAGCCAACAAGCCGGTGCTCTCCGCAAGCCCGCCAGGCACCATGCGAGAAATGAATATCCCCGGGACCTTTTCCAGGCCCTGTGGGGTGACCCGTACACTGGAGCCATCACGGATGTAGAAACCTAAAGGTTTTTCCTGGCCGTGCTTGTACAGGCGAACACGTCGGTGCGTTTCAGGGAGGATGTCCACGTCGATGATGGAAGAGACAGGGCGAAAGTCCTTAGGGAGACTGATGATCACTGGCGGTTTTTTCCTGTTGGTGTCAGGCCGCAGAAGTACAGCAGAAAGCACTGTGTTCTTTTTCCTGGACAGTGAGTCGGTACCAAATGTTGTGTAATCAGCTTCCTCTGCAAAATAAAAGAGAGGAAGTAGAAAAAGAGAAAAGGAAGATGAAATGGGGAAAGGGTGAGAGAAAATAAAAGCCAGTTAATTTCCATTATGATCCTGCTGGGCACATTACAGCAGTAGGCTGACACTCTACTGCATCATGTAGCTTCAGGAGAATGAGTAATGCTCTGCAACAGAGCAGCTCTCAGCCTGAGACATATCCTGTGTTCAACACACACAAGAAGCTGATCCACAGAACATCCCTCAGTCATACTCATGCAAAACGCTACACCAGACAAACGGGTACTCGCTCCCAGTCCATTGGCACTGTTCGACATGCCACCAACCACAAATTAGCCTGCATATGCCGTTTTATGGCCTTGCAGGTACCTGTGGTGTGCAGGGATGCTGTGCACATCGCTCATGTGACTCCTCCATTTTCAATCTGGGATACACTTTTTTTTTTTTTTAAATCTGTATCCAATGAAGATATTACTGCAAACCTAAACAAAAAAAAAACAAAAACAAAGTATATTGACACCTCCAGGAACATATTTGCATTTTATACTTAAGGTACATATTAAACCAATGAGATGAGCTGTTAGCAGGTGCATTGTGTTACGTTTGGAGAGAGTCTGGCTCACTGCTCCCCTTTGCTTCTAGTCTTTATGTAAAGCTAACTGTCCCCTGGCTGTAGCTTCATGGTCAAATTTTAGCTGCATCAGTCACCAAAGTACTACAACCCTGTTTGTACATTTTGAGGAGGAAATGTGTACACTGTGAAGCTAATTTAGACTTTAACCCAACACAGCTCGTATTAACACTAGACTGGCCAGGTGAAGCAGGGAAAAGCTGGACCTTGGCTCCCTAATAGTTAACTAACATTATACAAGCAGCTAAACATTAACATCTTTGCAACTTTCTTTTATGTCAGTGCCCAGGATTTGTGTGCTTCTGGTGTTTGAATAGGGTGTCACATCTTCATTTCCATATTCTTCACCTTTTGCTTCAGTTCTGATGAAGCCTCTTGGATGAGAGGTGAAACGTCTTCGATCTAGAAATCTAAGTCCAGTTGATTTTTTCTAAGGTTTTTCTCAGTTTACTATGACCTGGATGACTGAGAATCTGCACAGACATGTTCACTTTTTGCTATTTTTACAGCACTTTAACTGTTTTTAGATCAAAGCACTCTATAAATAAAGCTCTTGCAGTCCTATGCCGACACTTGTCTCTCTGAGTCTGTGTGTAAGTAATCCTGAAAATGATCCATTCAGGTGGCTGATAAAGGTTCCAGCTCTTAGGCTCTGACAGATATGCACCCCTCTCCATCCCTTAAACCAAAACAAAAGATCAGTTGTCCAAAGAAAGAGCGACAGTCTCACATTTCACATCCCATGGGGCACAAGGCTAGTGTATACACATTTACTATATCTTTACCAGCATTGACCTTATGGGCCAACTCCACCTGAAAACAATATAGCAACAACAGCTTCATGAGTAACTGTAAAGTCAAAAAGTTAAAACAAATTCCACGATCCCTGGTCTGTTCCTGGTCAGTCAGTTATTTTGTGCCTTGTCGTGCATGTAAACACCGCAGTAAAGAGGAGTAGGAAGAGCAGCACAGGTGCAATGTTTCAAAGCACCTGCATGCACACATACACAGGCTGTTCTATGCAGTCATGCATAGGAGGCAACGCTCCACTTCTCGTTTCACTCTTTC